CACTGCGAAGGGCTTCGGACGTACGCAGTCAGCTGTTGCATGGCTGCCCGAGCACTTGCGGCACGGTTCTGCGCATCCCTTTGTGGCATGTCCAAACACGTTGCAGCGCGTGCAACGGGGCGTGGCACAATCTTTGGCAATGTGGCCAGCATTCCTGCACTTAGAGTACACTTTCTTGACACCCCTGTAGTCACACATGACATTGTAGCCTTGGACTGTCAGAAAGTTCGGTATTTGGCTTTTCATTTCCACTCGCGCCACACGAACACCTGTGCCAACCCCAGGGCAGCCCTTGAACACTGGCTCGGGGATATGTTGCACGTTGCTGTAGGCGGAGAGAGCAGTCGCTAGGGCTGCGTCGCTTACTCACAGCGGTACCCGGAAGACTGTGACGTGGACTATTTCAGGGCCTGCGCTGACTAGTGGAACTGATTCGCCGTTCAAGAGAATGGCGCCCCGGCTCTTCAGCTTGGTGGCTGCATGGACGTTTGCGGCTGCGGTGCCGAACATTGCACCTCCCATGCGCTGGAGGGACTTGATACCGGCTGGGCCGGTTACTGCTTCGAGGGCATGTATGATGTCGTCGACGGTGCTCCACTCTGGGGCGCTGAAGTTAAAGCAATGAGCTTTCGGTGGTGGCGCTGCAAAAGCCATCACACATTCGTCCTGGCCCTGGCTCCCACGGCTTGCGCTGTGGTTCCCGGGAGTTGGATCACGATGAAGGCCTGGACAGAGCCGGGGGGTTGTCCAGGGGTTCGCTTGATGCTCAATAAGATGGGGTCGACGACTGGCAGCGTGCCTGGTCACGGGAATCCCGGCGCCAGGTAAGCGGTGAATAGAGCGTCGGCCGTCGATCAACTGACAAGCGGCGAAGCGTGTTGGCATTTATACCCTTGCCACCAAAAAATCTAGCGCTATCGCTAGCGGTGACGTAGGCTCCCGAATAATCTGTGACGTTCTAAAAGTGGGTGTAATCTTAACAAAACGATATACTAAAGCCTCGAAGCTTTTCGAGCATCATCGGCGCGGTTAGCGCTGAACGTAGTGTAACGGGATGACAAAAAAACTTAAGGAAAGGAACGTGACATCGCGCCCCTCTGAATGAATGAATCAATGAATGCAAAACTTTTTAATGCTTGCAAAATATTTTAATAAGTATTTTTGCCGGTGAAGGTGGAGCTCTCAGTCCAGGGCTCCTGTGGCCGTTGCCATCTTGCAAGCTCTGTCGATCGGCTTGAGTTGTTCTTCAGGTTTAGAGCAGGACAGCGCAGCCTCCAACTGCTCCGGTGTTGGTGCACAGTTTCTTGACAATACCTGTGTGTTGGCAGGCCCATGTCACGTGGTAAAGTGTGGGGTGTTCTTTGCATAGCGGGCATTTGTTGGCGTATATTCCCGGATAGATTTTACTCAGAAAACTGAGATTGGGGTACGTATTAGTAGGCAGCTGTCTCCAGGCAACCGACTGCTCTCGGCTGAAGTCTTTGTGGGGAAGGTGGTATATCATCCTCAGGGCTCTCTGGTGTTCTAAAATTGCTCCACAGCCTCTAGTAACTGTGGCTGGTTCCTCGTCGTTGTGCGCCCCACCAGTCGGCGTATTCTCGGGCAATGGCGTTGGCACGCTCCCTGTCACAGTTTCATGGCCTGGTGTCCACGTAATGGAGCAGCTCGAGAAGTTGACTTTTCTTCCCTTCAGTATGCGGATGGCAGCACTGGATATGCGTCCACTGCTGTACCGTCGACAAGTTTCTTGCAAGTGAGTAACTGTATCTGTCGTAGACTCTTCGCTATGGTGTGTGTTGGCGAGCGCGATCGCTACTTCTTCAGCCTCAAAGAAGTTGTTGCTTCTGATCGAAGTGCTGTTGACTTTCCTAAGTTGGTGATCCACAACGCTTGCAACTGTCCCGGAGTTCTCTCTGTATATGGTCGCGTCAACGCACAATACGTTGGTTCTCGCCTTGAATTTGTTTTTGTGCTTCTGATCTCGCTTTACTTTGAGACATGAAGTTTTGGATGCATCTTCCGGGGTATTGGGCTGACTTCAATAATCTGTCGAATGTCCTTTGGTGTGCTCGCCGGGTTAATGATTTCAATGTAAGCATCCCTCATGCCCATTGTATCCAGCGTGTACCGTCCCGTAGCAGTCAGCAGTAGTCTTATTTTCTGCGCAAGAAGATGCGCCTCGGTTTGTTTTTTCGCTGTGTTGTTTATCCCAGGTTTAAGGAACTTCTCTGTCGAGGTGCTGACACGTAAACCAAGGGCGCATTTATCGGCTTTTCTAAGGATTGCCTCAAAGTCTTCGTTTTCCTGTGGGAGTAGTGTTTGATAGGGGACACTGTATACAATATACACTGCTCACCGCTACACTGCTCACCGTAGCGTCGTCTTCCTTTCTGATGACGGGTATCTTCTGCTGTTTTTTCTTGATTTCTGGAGCCTAGCGGTTCCTGGACGCTGATCTCGACAATAGCCATGGTTTTGATGCTGATCTGGACCTGGATGGTGAGCTGGCATGCCTGCTGAACCAGCATTTCCGGGCCCGGCCGCGTCAATCGGCGACTTGTGCACAGGCGGTCGTCTGCTCTTTTGTTCTTGGTCGTGGGCTTCTCGGTCGCCTGAGGCGTTCCTTGCACTCCTTTGCCTTCGTAGGGTGCGCTTCCTTGCATAGCGCACACCGGGGCTCACAGGCGTGTCCGTCCTCTATGACTGGCTCGGTACAATTTAGCAGACAACAGCGTCTGGTGTTGGGCATATGTCTGCCCTATGCCCAGGCTTGAAGCATAAATAGCAAACTTGTCGCGATGGTCGGTGGAGGTAGCAACGTGTCTCACCACCGTAGTAGTAAACATAGCGCGGGACAATCTTGTCCTCGAAGGTGATGACGGCTCTTGGGGTTTTCCAAGCATTCTCGCATAAAGAATTTTCACTCCTTGGGTACGCACCCAAAGACGGGCTAGTAATTCGGATCACACCCTTGCAGGAGTTGTCCGGCGTGGCTACGTAAGCCATCACTGAGTAGTATTACACAAAAACGTAGACTTCAAAGGCTCTGCACCATGTTGGTCATCTGCATGCTTGGCGTTTTGAATATGGCGATATTAGATCCATTGCGCAGCTGTATAAGCAGGTTGCCTTCGTTGCAGGTGTCTGGCTTACCACATGGCATAGTTATAGCACATGCCATCTGATGCGTGCTTAATTCACTGATGTTGAGCCCATCCTTCTGTCAAATAATCCCCTTAAAGCCAGTTTTCGGCAGTGCAGGCAGTTTCTCTTTCCGAAGAGGAATCCCTTACTGTTTATGTTGGCTCGACACTGAATTGTCTACCGCTTCGGCCCCGGTCTCCGGAACGGCGAACAGCCTTGAGTTGTGGTACGTTGCAGCGAATAATCCCCTGTTGTCAAGAGGCTTTTATTTTGTGAGACGCTGGTAGCATTTTCTCAGCCTTGAGTTTTCTTTTTCATCAGTGTCGTGGCTACGGTTGATGCAGCCGCGTCGTCGTCAGCCATTCTCGCGCGTTTCGCGGAAACGCGAGTAGCGTTTCTTCGGGCCAACGACCCCACGCCGCTTAGGCTTAGAGCAGCGTTTTTCGCCTTGGATCTTCAAACAGAGAGACTTTCAGGAAATACAGACTTACGGTTAAAACCTCGTTATCCACCGACTGCACTTGATTAGTAGAAGACGTTCCATTACTTCATAGGTGGCGGCGATGAGGTTTTCCAGGTGAGATGAGGCGTCGAGGCGAGAACTTATGCGAAGCACGTTTGCTTTGCCTGGACACCTAGCGTCGTCTCTCCCCTCTGAAAAGGCATCGTTTCAATGCTTTCACTCAAGACAACGGTACAATAATAAAGACAACAAGTAACAAGCAACAAGTAACTATAACATGCTGTCCTCGGGTTCGCGCATAAAATGGTCTCAGGCGCGCCACATGGACGACTTTGGGTCAAGCCTGGCACTGTTGTGAGTTCGTAATGCCGTCGGGAAAAATATCGTAGTCGAGTGGGCCGAGACGTTGAACTACTCTGTACGGTCCGAAGTACCGTCGCAGAAATCTTCTGAGCTTACGTTGGGGTAGTTGTGTCCATACCCAGACCCCCCCGCCCCCCCCCCTGGCTGGTACTCAATGAATCTTCGTAGAAGTTTGTAATGGCAGCTGTCGGTCGCCTGCTGATTCCTAATGCGCAGGAGGTCGAACTGACGAGCTTCTTAAGCGCTGAAGGTAACTGGTGACGTCGAGGTTCTTTGTGACAGTAACGTTTGGAAGCATAGCATCGTTGCTGGGCTCCTCCCATAGACCAAATTGTACGGCGTCATGTGCGTCACTTCCAGGACGGCTGTATTGTACGCGAAGGTCACGAACGGAACCATTTCATTCATTGTCTTGTGCTCGACGTCGACGCACGTAGCCAGCATATAAACAACGGTCTTATTAGGACGTTCGGACAGGCCGTTGGTCCGTGGATGGTAGGAGTTGGTGTGGCGGTGACTTGTCTGGCTGTACCTGAGGATCACCTAATTAGGTCCACCGTAAAGGCTGTACCTCTATCAGTAATGAAGACCTGTGGAGCTCCGTGACGCAGAAAAATGTTGTCGATGAAGAACATTGCTACCTCGTAGGCACTGCCCTTGGGGAGGCACTTTGTTTCGGCAGTGCATGAGCGGTAGTCAGTTGCTTTTACGATACATTTGTTCCTGGAATTTGACGTCGACAACGGTCCCAGTAAGTCCATTTTGATTTGCAGGAATGGCCAGCGAGGCGGCTCGGGTGATAGTCGTGGCCAGTAGTACTTGTATTCTTGCGAGCGTACGGGAAACACCGAGGTTTCCAGCTGTAGTGTCGTCTTGTAGGGCCTCGAGTATTACTGGTCTCACTGCTGAAGGAACTACAAGAAGGTAGTCAGCTCGAAGGTTCGAGAAGTTATTCTTCAAGTCAACTTCGTTTCGCAAGTATAACGGCTCCAGTCCTCTCTTGAAACATTCGGAACAATCGTGCTGCTACCCTGGAGGTATTCCACAAAGCTTCTTAGTTCCACGTCAGCTTGCTGTTGCTCGGTGAAGTCATCGGCAGTTATTGTTCCTAAGATGTTGTCCATATCCAGGCCGTCGGGAAGCGGTGGTTCAGCGGGGGCTGGAGACATGCAGTCGGCGTCAGAGTGTGTTTTTGCGGACTTGTACACGACGGTCACGTAAAATTCTTGAAGTCTGAAGCTCCATCTTGCGAGGCAACCCGAAGGGTCTTTCAAGTACGCTAGTTAACACAAGGCATGGTGGTCGCTCCCAGCTTTGTAAGGCCTGCCGTAGAGGTGGGGCGAAACTTTGACACTGGCCAGGCGATGGCAAGGCACTCTTTTTCCGTTGTGGAATAGTTGGGCTCGGCCTTGGATAGCGACCAGATAGCACAGCTGATGACCGTTTCCACGCCCCTAGTCCTTTGCATAAGGATGGCGCCGAATGCTACGCTGCTTGCGTGGGTGTGTACTTTTCATTGGGCATATTCGTCGAAATGCGCAAGTATCGGTGGCGTTTTGAGGCGTATTTGAAGTGCCTGAAATGCGTCCTCTTGTGGCGATTCCCACCTCAATTCGACTTTGCTTTTTGTGAGGTGAGTAAGCGGCTCGACGATCGGCGAAAAACGTTTGACGAAATGCCTGTAATAGGCGCACAATACAAGCAATCGCCGTACAGCCTTCTTGCAGGTGAAACGCGGGAAATCAGCGATGACCTTTTGTTTCCCGTGGGTCAGAAAGGACTTCATGCTTGCTTATTACGTGTCCCCAAAAAACAGCTCCTCCTAACAGCTCCTTTCAGATGACATGACTTGATCTTGAAGAGGCCGTTTGGTGGGATGAAGGCCGCCTTCTCTCAATCTCTCTCATCAACCTCAACTCGTCAATAGCCCGTTTTGAGGTCCATCGAAGAAAAGTACTTCGCGTTGTGGAGGCGGTCCAGTGCGTCGTCTATACGTGAAAGAGGGTACACGTCAGCATTTAGTAGTAGCTGCGGTGGCGTCTGGTGGTACACACTAAACCAATTCTGACTCTTAAGGTTGTCAAAAAGGGTGCCGACACGCTAAGCACACCCTTTGAGCATCCTATTCGCGTCTCAGCACCCTACAAGCGGAACCTGAATGGTGAACACAACAAAAGGGTGGAAACTAGGGTGCAAAAAGGGTGCAACAACTAATGGGTGCTGATGAGCAACCAATGGGGTGCCCAGTTGCCGACAAAACTTTTCGAGTAACGTGGTCATAGAGGATAACCAATAGCTTTTAGAGGTCTCCTGGTTAGACACCATTGTCTTAATAACAGCCCCACCGCAGTAACAGATATCGGAATAGCGATAGTGCCCGGCTGAACGTAAGTTCTGCACTGGTTCTTGCATTCTTTCTGCCTTTTTCTTGTCGCCTCACGGCCGGCGCTGACCAAGCTATGCCCTACAAGCTCACTAGCCAATGGCGGAGTACGCAGCTTGTAGAGCTACAACAGGATTGTGACTTACACATATAGAGCTCTCGGCCTCGTTCGCGCCCGACATTAGAAACAAAACTTTGTTCATGACAGTATCTATAAGTCATACATTTGTACATGCAAAGAAATACAAACAAACAAGTCCGTGGTAGATAAAATAGTTTCTGTGTTGTACAAATATTTAGTAACCTTACAAAGTATCAGTTGACACGTGTTACCAATTTTTATGGCGGGCTATGGACTTTGACATTCTAATAAAATAACGGTAAAGAAACGCTTTCTTGATTTTGTTTATAGAAATATTCTTCAAAGCAAGTTAGAATGAGCCTTGACAAAAACCTTTTCCTAAAAAAAAAATTCTCTAAAAACAGCTAAAATTATGTTTGCTAACTAGTACGCTTAATTTGTTGTGACAAATTTTGCTTGCTGCCTGTAATTTGTACAAATATACAAGCGTTTCAACACTGTTTTTTGAGCCAGCTTAACCACTCAACGAATGTACGTATGTTAACAAGGTATCGGTATAAAAAAATACACAAGCAAGCAAACGTTTCAAATTTCGCGCGCTCTTTGACATTTCAAACTTCGCTCGAATACAAGTTATGTTATTTTTTTTTCAAAGTTAAGAAATATCCTATGCAATACACACTAGCCTATCTTCTATTTTCACTACTTTGTACTATAATTTTAAGCAGAAACAATCTATTTACTTATTATATAAATGATTGTGTGCGCAAATGCGGATCGGTGGCATCAGAAGGACAGAAATGGCGGAATCTTCCTGGATGCCACAACGGCCGTGTGCAGAGCGTTTAAACTCAATTTTTATGTTGTTCAAAGCACGCTTGCACTGTCTTTCGTGTTCTGTCGGTGCTGCTTGTTACGAAGATGCACTATACTCAAGAGAGGAACGGCTGTTTCGTACCGTCGAGAGCTCGCCAAACTAAAAAGGTAGGTGGATGTTTCTGCTGTCGACGCTTTGTTTTTGCTTTTCCAGCCAAGGCCGCGGCGTGCCCGATCCAGGCTGTTGTGCTACCGCTCGCGTCCTCGGCTCCTCCCGCGGTTAACACTGAAAGCGCTATAGTATAATAACGTTGTGAACTAAGGTTTTTCTAGCTGGTAGACGATAAGTGAGTTTTTATTAACGTAGCGAGCCTGCTGGCGTGTCTGTTTTCATTAGGCTCAAGTCTAAGCTCAGGGACGTTACGCGCGGATGAATTTTTTCTGTGGGGAAGGAGGTTAAAGCAATGTGCGCTGTGATGCTGTGAGTCGGCGGGCGATGCTCTTCACGCTATGAATCACTATATTTTTGCAATGCCATCGGACGCCGTTCGGGGACGGCGCATGGAAGCCGTAAGCGTCGTCTGTGTGTCACGTGCGTTGGAGTATTCCGGTGATTCGCGTTGAATTAGATCTTTCCGTATTTAATTTAGAGGAATGGAGAAGAATAACGTGGTGTCCGCGTCGGTATTTACGCGGCCTTGTTCGTTTTCTGTGTTAAAGAAGTATATGAAGAAAGTTTTATATGTTACTCGTCCTCTTTTCAACAGCTACATGATCATTAAATGTGTGTGACAACTATAAGATAGATGTGTTTTCCTGTGTGACCAAACGTGCTTGCATCCACCGGGCACATTTAATATTAAATTACCATGATATTCTGCTTAATTAAGTGTGCGTAAACTTGACACAGCGTGCTGTAGGTGCGGTTCTCAAAGCGTGCAATTACGCCTGGGTCAATACATTTTGTCTAAGAGTGGCCGAAAAGCCGTACCTTAGCTGTGCAAGCGCTAGGTTCAGCAGTAGTTCACTCGTTCGAGCGCAATTTCGGTTGTACTGCTTGTTCCCCCCTGTTCACCTATCATTGCATTGTTCTGGTTTTTAAGAATTGTGAGCGCTGCAGCCCGCTTTGGAGTTAAAACTTTGCCGAATACCTTAACGTCTACAAACATTCTAAAACTAAGTTCTACCAAAACTTCCAATGACACTTTCGAATACAAGTGTAACGCTTTATCTGATATCATATTCTTTATGACCTCGCTGCAGATTTACAAGTGACCTGTGATATGTGCAGTGTATGAATGCCTAATTTATTGCTCAAAACACAATAAGGTTATACATCACAGTATGCATGCCAAAGGCGTGCATGTGTTGCTGCTGACATGGAAACTTAGACATTGTATTTATCTAAGAATGGACAAATCTAAACTGCCATTTTTTGAAGATGTTTGCATCAGGCCAATTGAATAATATCAAAAATATTGTTCACCAAGTGACTGTTGTTTATTGCCTTGCACCGACGTCACTAAAACCGTTTTGTTGGTACTTAGACCACATGGTGGGATGCAAGATTCATGACGTCATATTGAATGTTAATGTCACATGATATGCAAGGTAAATTGTTATTAGCATACAGAGGCCAATAACGTTATGGCCTCATCGTTATCATAATTAAGCAGGTTAGGCAATATGTGATTCTGCTGCCTTTACGTCATGTTGGGAAACCATTACGTTATGTAGCTATCTGCAGTGTCTGAGATCTTGGTTGCCGGTCAATATTGCAGAAGCTTGCCTGCTTCGTTGTGATGGCATGGGGTTCAAGATTGATGTTTTGTCTTAGCGTTTCCACTTTTCCTCGCCTATGGTCATTAGACAGCTTGTGCTGTTTGATTAGAAGTGAGGAGTAGTGCCTCTTTAGCCAACCAGAACAATTTAGATAAATGATCACTATCAAGCAGCACACAATATTCATTTAGTGAACTCAATTTCAGGCAAATTATAAACGTCCGAATGTTAGCCGTTTGAAGGAAGCTTCATTCGTTGAACTCAGGAGAATAAATGGTAAAGAAGGAAAGGCAGGGAGGTTAGCCACACCAGCAAAGACGGTCTATCACCCTACACGGGGGAACAGGGAGATTGAAGTCCTGTCGCAGTGGTCTAGTCGCTAAGGTACTCGGTTTCTAACCCGAAGGTCGCAGGATGATATTCCGGCCTTGCTGGCTGCTTTTTCGATAAAGGTGAAAATGCTGTAGGCCTGTGTTTTCAGATTTGTGTGCACGTTAAAGAACCCCAGGTGGTCAAAATTTCTGGAGCCCTCCACTACCTCGGTAAAAAATTCATGTGTCAGTATTGCTTTAATTTTATGCTTTATCTGGAGTGGATGCATATGTGCACACGGACATGCATATGCAGTGGTATTGCAATTTTACGGAATAAAATATTCATATGGTGCATATTGCATGGCATTTACCTAAGAGACACATCACGTGGGTATCATAACTACAGAAATGCAAATGTGCCTCTATGGATGCACTTGTGCATATATTTGGTCAGCTTCAAGAACAGAATTCATTGATCGAAGGCAACAGCATTACTCAAGCATGCTTATCTCTTAATTACGCGCAGTCGATACAGCTAAAAGGGGGTGTCTTCGTCTAAGAGTTCTAACTTCATCTTCATGCATGAGCGAGCTAGAAAGGTGAATGAAAATTTACATGTATGACATCGACATGAAAAGCTCCGCAACAGCAAGTTTTTCGTTGTATTTATACCGCAACATGTGCTTTTTGTATTTCTCTGTTGCGTTCCACTAAATATAAGTTGGCCATGCACTTCTAGCCATTTACTGCAATTTGGCAAGCAGCGTATGCAGTCTAGACAGACCTCACCAA